TCTAGCTCCATCTCATGAGCTTTCAGCATGCCCACGAGTTCACTGAATGGCATGTTCTCCGTGTTACTGGACACACTGAGTGCTGATTTGTGCCCCATAAACCTCGATGGCAGACACCTCAAGAATTTCTTCACCAGCTTCTTGTCCTTGTATTTCTTGCCTAACACCACAGCTTCTTGTGCCAGAGCACTCAGTTTCGAACTGAATTCAGAGATGGTTTCATCCTCCTCCATATTTAGATTCTCAAAGTGAGAAGCAAGCATGTCCTTTTTGGAGTTTTGAACCTTTGTTGTTCCTTCGTACTGCATCTGAAGTATGTCCCATGCTTCTTTGGCAGTCTCAACACCTTGAATCAGCTCAAAAGTCTTCCTTGAAATGTTGGTGTGAATGGTAGTCAACGCCCTTGAATTGTACTTTGCTCTTTTTGACTCTTCTTCAGTCCAACTTTCTTCTGGTTTTGGATGAAAGACTCCGTTGGCATCAGCTACCAGTGGTTCTTCCCATTTATCAGTTACTGCCTTCCATGCCAATAGATCGATCCCTTTGATCATGGATCTGATCCTAGCTTTCCAAAACCCGTAGTTCCCATCATCCAGGATGATCCTGGAGTTGTTCACCATTTCCTTATAGCTCTCCATTTTCTCCGCAGGATCTCACCTGTTTGTAATACACACAGATGACTGCTCTGATACCAAATGAAAATGTAAGAGTAGTAATACGGGAACTAACACAGAACACAACACATGGATTTTTCTCTTCAAAGATACTTCACTAGTAAATCTGTTTGTAACTTACAAGTATACAGAACCCGATTTAGAGCAACCTCAAGACACGCCTTGATTTGCTACACTAGTCTCACTTGTTCTTGAATCGATACGTGATTCAAGAACCTCTCACCAAAATCCCTTAGCACACTAGCTCACAAAAACTCTCACAGATTTTCGCTCACCCTTTGCTAAGTATTCTCTCAGTTGTGTTAAAAACCCTACCTAGCTCTAACACGCCTATTTATACTCAATAGGACTTGCGACTGATCCTCGCCTAGATTCTCCTTCGGATTACACCAAATCTTCATGAGAATCTTCACCTTCCTTATCTTCTCCTAAGATAGAGGAAACTCGATATTGTCTTCATAGATCCTCCAAGATACTCCAAGCTTTCTATCCACGTCAGCTTCTCGTCTCTTGAAGTGTCCAGCACGTCCTGCAGCTCCAGCTCACCTCCACGTGTGTAGATTGCTATGCAAGTCTTCCCGTGTCAGTTCCAGAGCTAATCGGACTGCTACACGTGCTGCTCCAGCCTTGTTTGCATCTTCACTATTTTCAAACCAGGACCCAAATCTATAACAGCTGACCACATGACTGACAAGTGAGTAATATGTTTAAACGACCCAGATGTAACCTTTAATTTGTCACCACTAATTATGACAAGTCCAATTGAAGAAGAAGGTTTAACTCTAGTGAAAATCAATTTCCAATATTCAACTCTATCTAAAATCTTCTCGTCGATGGCCTGCAGTCCACTATGGCCCATGGGAATAAGCGGAATCCCACAGCTCTTGAGCCGTTTGATTGTCTCGATAATCTAAGACTCTCATGCTCCACAAAATAATTAGATGGTTTATCCAATAATTTAAAAATGTATAATGTATTTTTTTCGAAAAAAGTACATAAATATATTTTATAAAAAATTGAGTATGATGTGTTTGGCTTGTTAGACCAACGAAAATGCTTCGCCGAGCACAAAACTTAATCAAACATCAGATCAGACCTTCAATCTGACTAGGGAAAATTAAACCTAGGCTTCTGACCTGCCAAAAGGTTAGTCAGAGTAAACACACCTATTGTCACCATCAATCACTTGAATCGCTTAGACGAGACTTACCACCGTGGAAAGCAATTCACTACAAGAAAACATGCTAAATTCTTATGAATTTTTCTACGAAAATTTTCGTTAGAAATTTCTTTTTATCATTTTCCTACGAATTTATAACAAAAAATAAGATTTTTTTTATCAATAAAAATCGTTGAAAAACAGTCAAAATATTCTTATCAATATTCAACCAAAAAATATCCGTAGGAAATCTGATCAGAAAATGATAGAAAATCGATTAAAAAAAATTATTGTGATAATGGTAAGAAATTCGTCAGAAATTTCTAACCACACAAATAAAATATGTAAAAAATTACCTATCAATTTCCTACAAACCAACTATTTTATTATTTAAATATCCTATCAATTTTCTACCAAAATCAGTCAAAAAAAGAAATAGGAAAAGTTCCACATCGACAAACCAGAGTAAAAGTCACGCTAAATATGCTCTATAAATAGTGACATACTTTAAATATAAAAAATACTGAGTGAATTAATATAATTTAGGTTTTAGAAGTTTCATATTTAGTTAAAATTAATTTTTAATTAGTTTTTAATTAGCTGATTAATTTTAGATTTAATTTTTAGAATTTATTTAATAATTTAAATTATTTAATTTTGGAATTAATTGAATTAAAACTGTTTTTACATAGCTAGTAGGAAAATGGTAGGAATATGGTAGGAAAAATGTTCGTAGGAAAATGTTTCGTAGGAAAATGGAAGGAAAGTAGTAGCAAATGCCCTACGATATTATGACCAAATTTTCCGATGAAAATTTTCGACCAAAAGTTTCGTAGGAAATTTCCTACCATTTTCTGACTATTTATAATTTCCGACGGCATAAAAGCTACCGAAATTTTTCATCGAAAATTGGTAGAAAATGTCTGTTTCCTACTATTTTCTGATGATATTTTTCGTAGGAATATGTGTTGTTTTCTTGTAGTGATTGATCATTCTTTTCGCCTCACATCCCTCGACCATTGGTGAAGTACATATGCACGAAAGGCTCTCTAGCAACGCCGAGAGGCACTAAAGAGGCAAAGAGCACTTTTTGGTGGCTAAGACAAACTTGTCTAGATATCTTTTATTTTTTATGTATTAAAAGTTATTTTTTTATACAAACTTTATAAATATGGCATAAGTATCATGTTGATAACTCTATAAGGTCCATAAACCCTGTTCTAAAAATCAGCCACTTAGCTGGTCGCCTAGGTGCTCAGCAATAGTAGACCATAGCGATTTATGATTAATCGGATCAATAAATCAGATATCCAGTTAATCTCCATCTAGGCCGATTGATTTCCAGTTTTTTTTTTTTTTTTTGACATCCATTAATTGATTTCCAGTTAAACCAATTAATTTCTGACAAACTTAAATTTTTTAAATAAAAATAAAAACTTAGTAGATTCTAAAATATGATGAGCCAAACTCTACTTGTGTTCATATTTTTATAGAAAAAAATGTAATATATTAGACTTAATACATGTTTTCCATGTATTTTATCTAATCTTAAACACAATATTATATCAAATTTATAAATAATAATGCATTAATAAAAATCAAAAAATAATCATCGCTTAATCTTTATTTTTTTGCTAGGTGCTAAATTTATCCAACTTAGCCGTCTGACTAAAGTTTAACGCCTAGGAATTTCTTAAACATTGTCCATAACTAATTAAAACTAATTTTTGTATGATATTCTTTCCCAACCCTCTTCGGCCTTTGAGCGGCATTCTCTCCCAAAGCAGTTTGCCCTAGCCGCCGTCTAAAAAAATTTCACCGTTTCCCTCTCCGGTCTCCGGCTCTTCGCCAATGCTGTGAGAGGGGTTTTCTCTTTTATTTCCTTTCTGCTGGTTTTCGGTTTCGGGTGTGGTTTGGTGCGGAGTTTCGGGTTTCAACGGCGCTTGGTGAACTTGATTTTCCGGTGGCTCGGTGAGGTGGCTTTTCTTGAGTGGTGCGGCTTGTATGCTGGTGGCTTATCTTCCTCCTTCTCTCAGATCTGCTTTGAGGACGGCGGTCTTTGTTCGGGGTGGGAGAGTGCGGCGGCTCATCGTGTTCTCTCAGGGGGGGCTTCTCCGTGGGTGTTGGTTGTCTCCGGTTCTGGTTGAGGTAAGATGCGGCGCTTGTTTAGGATCTTGTAGGTGGTGTTTCTCGGATGTTGGTCTCAGATTCGTGGCTTTCTCGAGGAAAACAGTCAGATCTGATCTCAATATTCCGGCGGTTTTCACCCGTGTCTCTCCTCGGCCCCTGTTTGTGTGGAGTGGCGTCGTCTTTCTCCCTCAGTTTTCGGCCTGCCTCATTTATTTGTCTCCTCAGCTCTCCTCCTTTCCGTCTTTAGTCACGCCCTATGTTCTATGTGTGTCTGTACTTCCTTGGTCAGTTAGCCTCTCGGATTGGTTGTTTGGTTCCTGTTTTGAGAGTGATTGGTTTTGCGAGAAGAGTGTTCGATGTCTGCTTTCTAGGTTTTGAAGGTGTTGCGGCTCTGGTTTGTTTTCTCACCGGCTGTGACAGCTCTGGTTCTTTTCTCACCAGCTGTGGCCTGAAGACGTTTGTATGTGGTCTCCGACTCTCAATTCTCCTAATCGGTGTTCAATCTGCCTGAAGTTTCGTGGTCCTTGTTCGGCCGGATTTCGTTCTCTTTGTTTTGGGCGAATCTTTTGCTTTCAGAGTTTATGTTCGTATGTTCAAAATCTTGTTTGTACTATTCGTTTGTGTTTTCTTCCTTCAGATTCGTTTTCTTTTTCTTGTTGTTCTTATTTTCTTTTTTGCAATCGTTGTTACTCCTTTTAATTAATGAAGACTCTTTAACCAAAAAAACTAACCAAAACTAATCCACTATCTGCGAATTGGCGGGAGACTAGTTTTCATGTTTGAAGTTTTACCTCCAATATGGGTCATCTGATTATTTTCCATAAGGATTTATGTATTATTATGCCATTAATTTATATAAAATAAAAATGTTTAGATATATGATTTTAATATATTTTTAAAAATACATAAATGCGCACTGCTCATTACAGTGCACGATAGCATAAAGTACTATTTGCAAATTAGCATCGTTTACTTTCACTGGAGAAAAAAAATTACTTAACCAATCCAAAAAAAAAAAAACAAAAACAAATCCTATTTTTATTTATCGTTAATTCCCTAAATTTTCGATTTCCGATTTTCGATTTCCGATCGACGGCAAATCTCGAGATTTTTTTTCCGCCGGCAAATTCATTCGCGATGTGTGAATCCAAGAGTGTTGTACAACTTTCACTTCATCGGAAACCCTAATTTCAGTGTAGTGGATCTACAATTTCTTTGTGATTTAGGCTTGATCTGCTCTAGCTCTGGAGGAAGAATCTCAATTGATAGATTTTACAGCATTTTTTCCATCTTCTGCACATAAACAAGTAAGATCTCTAGCTTAATCTCATTTTCTCTTGATGAAATCGACATTTTACTGTTTTCCGATTGTGGATTATTAGGTTTTTAGATATTAGCGAACTCAAAGTAGCTTTTAATGTATCTGGTTTTGTTTTGTTGAAGTTAGTACCTTACATTTGACGCCATATCTGTTTCAACTGATAGTTTTGTCCGAAAACGGAGAGAAATTTAAGTTTTTTTTTTACTTCAAGATGCGTAAATTCTCAAATCTACTCGACGGTTTTTTGTAAATTCTGGTAGATTTTCTTTCTATGTGAAGGTTTGAGATTAATCTTGATATTATCAAAGCTGATTCTAGTTCAAGTTTGAACAAAGCATTGTTCTTTAATATTTTGCTGTTTGGTGTCAGAATGTTGTCTTTTGACCTCTTTGGTTGAGTATTGGGTTATGTTGTAGTGACTGAAGAAGATTATGATTCTACTCTGGTGAATTGTTGCAGATGATGATGTTTATGGTGCTTGTAAGTGGACAACTTTCTGCGATTTAGGAACAGTATTTATTTTCCTTTTGAAGAACTGTTGGTGGTGAGAATTGACCTGATTCTACATGGAAGCATACAGAGAAGAGGCTCTCAGAGCGAAGCAGATCGCTGAGAGAAGATTCGCAGAAAAAGATTTTACTGGCGCGAGGAGCTATGCATTGAGAGCGAGGTCACTGTTTCCAGATTTGGAAGGTTTATCTCAGATGCTTACAACGTACGAAGTTTATATAGCTTCTCATGGCAAACGCAGCGGTGAAATCGATTACTACGCGGTTCTTGGACTAAAACCATCAGCTGGGAAAAGAGAAGTGAAAAAACAGTTTAAGAAGATGGCTGTATTGCTCCACCCAGACAAGAACAAATGTCTTGGAGCTAACGGGGCTTTCCAGATCATATCAGAAGCATGGTCGTTCCTGTCTAACGAGTTTAAGAAAAGCACTTTTTATTACAAAAGAAAGAAACTTATTGACTCCATGGTGGTACAGAAAACCAGCACAGAGTATGTCCCTGAGACAAACGCAGGATTCGATTGTTGTCCTCCACCAGCTTCAGAAAGACTTGATACTTTCTGGACTGTATGCACCTCTTGCAAAGTTCAGTATGAGTATCTGCGGAAGTATGTGAATAAGCGTCTTTCGTGTAAGAACTGCAGAGGAGCATTTATCGCTGTGGAGACTGGACCGGCTCCTATTAGTACATCGATTCAATATGCTCCTCCTCCTCATAATACAACAAGTAATGGCTATGGAGGTCATGGCTATGATGCTGTCTCACGAATGCCTACCAATTCAACTTATTTCTTAGGTCAGTATCCTGCACATGGATATGAATATGTTACCAATGAGTCATATGACTGGAACTCATACGTGGGAACATCTCCTGGGAGTCTGGAGTCAAACCGCATGTCTTCAGTGTCCAATGGATATCCTTATAAGGTCACCAATGGAGTCGTCTGTAAGGGAAGAAAGAAAGTTAAGGAAGGCTATAACAGGACAAGCTCGGTGAAAAGTACAGCCTCTGATATGATATATCCGAGGCCATCCAATTGGTCTGCTGACCCTTCCGTGATTAAGGCCAGTAGACCTGAGAAGAAGAGGAATGTTGGTTTGGGGTCATCTGGTAATGGATTTGTTGAGAACACTGCAAAATCTAATCCTGAATCGAAAGCAGCAAATCTGGATGGAAACATGGAACATGAGTTTAAACATCCTGGCCAAACTTATGGTTCAAATAGACGGTGGTCTGCTGCAACAGGATTGGATACGCGGAAACTACTGATCAACAAAGCTAAAACACATATCCAGCAAAGACTAGAGATGATGAGATTGGCTTCAGTGGCAGCAGCAGCGGTGGTTACAGAAGACGTGACTCCCATTGATGAAATAAATGCCTTCTCCAAGGTAGGAGATGAAGTATCCAAAATAGGAAGTTGTGTTCAATCTATTCGGAAAATACACGGACCAATAACAGTTCCAGACTCCGACTTCCATGACTTTGATAAAAACAGATCGGAAGAGTGCTTTGAGGCTAGGCAAATATGGGCAATCTATGATGAAGATGATGGTATGCCACGGTTATATTGCGTAATCCGGGAAGTACTCTCGGTTCAACCTTTTAAGATTGACATAGCCTACTTGAGCTCCAAAACCGACATCGAGTTTGGTACGATGAAATGGGTGCAGTACGGTTTTACAAAGTCTTGCGGACATTTCAGGATACGGAACACTGACATAGTTGACCACGTTAACATATTCTCCCATCTACTTAAAGACAAGAAGACAGGAAGAGGTGGTTGTGTTAGAATATTCCCCAAAACCGGAGAGATTTGGGCCGTGTACAAGAACTGGTCACCAAACTGGAACAACTCAACACCAGATGAAGTGAGGCACCAGTACGAAATGGTTGAGATCCTTGATGAGTACTCTGAACAGTTTGGTGTTTGCATCGCCACGCTTGTGAAAGTAGATGGCTACAAAACCGTTTATTGCAGGAGAGAGGAAGAGAGTAGAAAATGGATACCGAGGAGAGAGATGCTGCGGTTTTCGCATCAAGTGCCATCTTGGTTTCTAAAAGAAGAAACTAGCGGTGTGCCTGGAAACTGTTGGGACTTGGACCCAGCTGCTATACCTGAGGAGTTGCTTCAAACTGGAGCAGGAACTGATTAATATTATATCATTTACTGTTTGCTGCAAGAGACAGAAGAGTAAGAGCTTTATTTATATCCATGTAACGGTTTTTAACTCAGTGTAGAAAAACCAAACACTTTATATCCACAAGATTTCTGGATTATTATGTCAGGAACTATATACACGCAAGCCTCTGTTTGTTCATTGGAGCTGTTGTATTAGCAACGTTGAAGAATCATTAGTTTGACTTGTTACTTGTTTTTACGATTCTGTTTTCCTTTTTTCTTTGTTAAGCTTTAGTATAAAAAATTGTTGCCAATCTTATCATTTTGGCTTTTGTTATTCCCTCTTGCTTCGTATGGCTAAAGCTACATGTGAATTACTCTGGTCTCATCAGTTCGATCTCAATGATATGTGTTGCAGATCAAGCAAAACTTTTAAGTGACAACAAGTCTGCATATTTATGACTGCACATTGTGAATTCATGTGATAAGCTCAATTATAGTAAACCACTAACCACCTTTTTGATCATTTACCAACAATTTAGCTTTTCAAATAACTCGTTTTATGAAATGAAAAAACAGTCTTAGCTTAGGTTTTTTTAACTTGGTGACTCCATATCAAACATTCGTAGATTATGTGAATCATGATTAACACACTTTTAATCAGTTATGAGTTCGTTAGATCAGTTAATTAATCAATAAATAAATTTACACATCAATGAGAAAACCACTTCTTCTCCCCTTTAAAGAAAAGAGAACACTTCATTTGTTTTAATTATCCTCTCTTCTTTGTTTTGGTTCTTCATTAGGTGTTTGTAATTTTGATATGGTATCAACCTGAAACATCCCTGTATTATAGAAACGACGTGGGATATATATTCTATGTGGTTAGATGTCATTGGAACTTTTTTGTCAAATTTCGGAAACATTATAGAATCTTGGTTTTTAGACAAAATAATAAGCAAAATAATTAGCTTTTAAAATTCGGAGAAGGATAGTAAAATATTTCTAGCAAATTCAACTGATGATAGAAATATATGTGAGTTTATATGATCCGAACAAGCAAGAACCAAACTTCTATTTTTATTTTTAAAATAGAGTAACTCAAAAATGAAGTTAAATAGATATCTTCATTTTATACTTTAAAAAGAATTGTTTAGATGATTCTGGGTTCTTCTTTTGGGGTAAATTTTATTCAAAACTGAAAAACACGTAAAAACCCGGAAAATATAATGGAGATATGTTTTCCGAAAGTTCTCCGACGCTCAAGTCAAAAAAGAACCAAAAAAACTATTAAGTGGCTAATCGGAAAATAGAAAGAGATCCGAAAACTAAAGAAGGAAAATGGGCCGAGTGTTCCTGTGAATGGTAGAATCTACTCGGACCTTTAGCGGTGATGGGCTTTTTGTAGTGAAAAGACAAAAAGAGAAGAGTTTGTTGGTGGAAAATCTCCACGACTTAGGGACCAACATGGAAAGGAAGTAAGGAGATGGTCAGAATAATGACCGGAAAGTATAAAGTGCTAGCCTATAAGACTCACAAGTATCTATAGAGATATTATGAACTTTAGGATAGCTAAAAAATGTGTTCCCCTCCCCCTTCCCACCCCTTTTAATTTGGATGGGATAAAGTATTTATAGGATTTTACTTGACCCGGGTTATTATACCAGATCAATCCGTGGATAGTGAATCAGGTGGGTCGGTCCATGATCTGACTTGACTGTGTTTGAATCTTGCGCTTGCGTCATACTTCTAACGGTCTCACCAAATTTTCTTGGCATGTTCTGCCTGTTATGAGACCGCTCCTTGGTGCGTCCCTTTCACCGTTAGTGTGGTTGGCGGTTCAAGCGCGATATGGCTCTTGCTGAACCTTTGCTTTTCCCTCTGGTTCCTGCGAAAGATCATTGTCGCCTGACACACGTAAGAAAGATGCATTAAATGCCAATCTAGTGGGTTTGTAAGGGTATAGGTAACTAAACAGACTAAAGCATATTCCTATTGTCGAATGGAGGGAAATTTAGATAATGTTTCCCGCTTATGGATTCACTTATACCTGGCTCGGATCCCCCGATACTGGGACCGGGCTGCCGAGATTATTTAGATGGATGATTCCGCTCTCCAGGTACTTATGCGGACTACTCTTCCTTATATCTCAAACCTTCTGAATCACTGAGCTTAGGTCTAGGACATAAAGAAAGTGAAATCTTATCTTCCTGACCATTCAGTTTCTGATCTCCTTGTGTCTGACAGCGTGGACTACGCTGTCAGATACGAAGAACCCGGGAACAAGTGGTCTATCGTGTCGGATCTCCCGAATCCGAATGGATTCGAGACTCGATGCTATATGCTTAGGTTGTATTGGGCTTACAGCCAATATGAATCCTAATTTAGCCCATGGGGGCGTATCTGCAAAAAAGCCATGACGCCATGTGCAAGCACATGATTCATCCACGTAAGAAGGATCAAATTTATCTCCAATTTTGCCCCCACATCACGGAATTTATCCTTGCTGGGACCAAATTCTTACCCCCCTCATTAGACGTACCTGACTGGACATCCTGCCTGAAGCGCGTAACGCTTTTTCGATGAAGGACGCGTTGTCTGAGTCACCCTGTGACTTGAGGCGTGTGACGCCTTTTCGATGAAGGACACAAATGCATGAGTCATCATCCGTGGACAGCATGACCTGGGACTGGGAGCCCAAATGGAGGACGCGTTACCTGAGTTGAAAACCGTGGATGAAATGACCTAGGACCATGGGCCGCGAAGAACACGATACCTGAGTTACCTGTCCGCGGGCTCGTAACATGAAGGACACATGGCCTGGCCGTCAATCAGGTCCCAAAGGGGGTGCTGCCCTGCCAATCCAGCAATATTTCGTGGCCGATCCCTTAGAGATATTCGGTTCTCTAAAAGAGAGCCGTCAACCACAAAGCACACTGAAATTGGCAAACCGATCCGCAAAGGGAGCCAGTCTTAGGCTGCGTGATGCAATTCCAATTAGGTTCTTAGTGGACATTTATACTGTCTGCAGAGCGCATGCCCCTAGATGGTCCGGTTAAAGGGTGCCATTCCAGGGATGCGGCATCAACAGACATGCTAACCTTCCACTGCACTGGTCTTGTCAGGGTAAACATCCCGAATGTCGTAACCAATTATTTTTAAGACAGTCGGAGAGGCATACTCGATGGAGACAGTTGAGACGGAGAACTTTGTCTTCTATTATTTCGGTTAATTCATGTCCTTCAATTCTTTTCCTTTTTTTTCTTTTGCGAAGGGGGGAGGCTTTACATCTTCTCCTCAACTCCGGGCTCGTCTCCTCCATCTCCTCGCTGGGACTTCACTCCGTTGTCTCTTCATATGCGCCTCTCCGGGGATCTTCTCATCTCCCTGGAGTGGTCTTCTTTCCTTGGGGTTCGGCTTCTTTCAGAAATTTTTTTTTGTAAGAAAATCTTTCTTCTCCTTTGGGCTTGCTGCCGTTGCCGGATTATAGTTAGGCTGAGTTTTTCAGGGTTTTTGGTTTTTAGGCCTTTTGGAATTTGCTCCATGGGTTTGCGATTGGGCGCATCATTGTTGGGCTTGTCGACCTTTTGCTGCTAAACTTCCTCTGAGGAGAGCTTCCCTGACCTGGGCTATTTGCGACCGCGTGTCGAGATCTCACTGCGCATCGTCTGCTCCCCGATGCCTTCAGGCTGTTTCCTTACTCCCATAATTATGGTCCGCGCATGTCTTACATGTGTCTTATCGCCCGCGACATTCCCATTAAACCCTCAGAGAGTGCCCTCTCTTCGTCGTTTTGTCTTTCCCCTTATGCTTTTTGCTCTCCTTCATAATCTTTGCCGTGCCTCCCTTCAGTCTTTGTGGATCCAATTTCTCTCTTTATTTCCCGATAGATACATCTCCCTACTTCTCCTCTCGCTTTCGTGAGAGCGCCTTCTAGGATATAGTCATGGAGTGGGTCGAATCCGTTATTCTTGAGAATGATATCGACCTTTCCGCCATGGCAGATACCCTTGGTTCCCGCCTCAGGATTTTACCGCGAACCATGTCTCTGTTTTCAGGATCGAGTTTCGGTCCCAGGCCTGCTGGGTGATGGCGGAGGTTTGTCGATCTGCTTCCCTAGCCCTGAGCCAGTTCACCACCCAGGCTTGGGGTCTGATCTATTCTCTCCAGGTTCTCTCTGACTTGTCTGGGGGAGAACATCTTTGGCGAGATTGTTCTGGGTGCTCCAGGATCCCGCGGATACGACTTAGTCCCTATCCGGGACTTGGAGACACTGGTGCTCCCCCCAATGTGGCTCTCTTCTTCTGCTGCTGTCGACGATTTCCTAGAGGCCCTTCTGACTTCCCGTTTGACTGGTCTCCACTGGGTAAGGGTTTTTTCTCTTTGTTTCTTATCCCATCTTCCGCCGAATTCGACGGCTCTCTCTCATTGGCTTCCGCTCTTGCAGGGTCAGATCCGGTGTCTAGGTCCTCGTATCCTTTTCTCCAGGAGTGTCTCCGCCAGATCCCACCACCTCTCCAGAATCCCGTTTTCCTTCTCCATCCTGCAGTTGTTGGGGGAACTTCTCTTGGGGCGACGGCGAGTGATCCTTTTATCTCTTTAGGTGAGTTGTTGTCATATTAATCACATTCTCTCTCTCTCTTTTGTCTGTCGTTCTGCTTTATCCCCCTTATGCGGGAAATCTTATCTTGCATATATTTAGCAGAGGAGTCGGGATGCTGTCCGTCAACTGGGAACGCTTCAACTCGTTCCTGATCGAGGTCTCCTGGCTGTTAGAATATTTAGAGACTAAGCGGAATAAAGAGATTTGAGAGAGTGTGCAAAAGAGATGAGAGAAAGAGTTCCCAAAGTAGTGTGTTTATTCATTCTCGTCTTTGATACATATATAGAGGAGACAGAATAGAAACTAGGTTTAGCTAAGCTACAATACAAAAGAAAGTGGTTAGAGACATAAGGAAACATGTGAGTCTTGAGCATGGATCCCGAGAGATAGTGACAGCTCCAACGGTCACAAGACCAAGTGTAAACGACGCGCCAAGGGGGGACCATTGTACGGACACCAACTCTCTTCTTCCTTAAACATCACACGTGATCCCTTGAGCCTTCTCTCCTTATTAAAGGCTAACACCGATTCAAGCCCTAAAGCATAGAACCTTTCTTGACCAATACTCCCCCTCAAGCTTAGCCATCGAAGTTGTTTAGATTGCTAAGCTTGAAGACCCATGAGCATCACCTCATTAAAAACCTTAACAAGGAAAACCT